AGCTTTTAGTGAGAATTATGGGTGATCATAAAAGTGTTTTGATTTTGAAAGCATTAACTTTTGTGAGCTAGATTCATCAAATCCTAAGTTAACAAGAATTGAGTTAGAAAATTAATTCCTCTAAAGATATAAAGGCCTAAGTGTCTGTTTCTGGAATTCAGGCAGAAATATAAACTTAAGGATGAGAAGATAAAAATTCAAGACAATAGAAATAAAATGGATCTTAATTTTTTCCTGTAAAAATATCACTTATTAAAATTATTTCTATTTTGAAATTGTTAGGACTTAGTTGACTAGAAAGTCATTTTCATGTTTGTTGTTTTTCCTTGGGGAAATACTTTTAATAGGAAGACTTTTTAAACTTTATTAATATTTTTTCTTCAGATAAGCTATTATTTTAAATGTGATTCTTAAATTTCTTTTCTTTTTTTTAAGATAAGATTTCGCTCTGTCACCCAGGCTGTAGTGCAGTGGTGCTGTCTTAGCTCACTGCAGCCATGAACTCCTGGGCTCAAGTGATCCTCATCTTCCCACCTCAGCCTCCCATGTAGCTAGGACTACAGGTGTGCGCTACAACAACCAGTTAATTAAAAAAATTTTTTTGTAGCGATGGTCTCATTGTGTTACCCAGGCCAGACTAGTCTTGAACTCCTGGCCTCAAATAGTCCTACTGCCTCCGCCTCCGAAAGTGCTGGATTACAGGCGTGAGTTACTGCACCTGGCTGATTCTCTAATTCTTGAATTTCTTGAGTAAAAAAAAAAAAAAATGCAAATATGCTAGATTTAAGAATAAAACAATATGTGTTGATAACTTGGCATGTTATATTTTGGAAAGATGAGCAAATAAATTCATTTTACTCTTCAGATTATGACAGTATTTCTAATTTTGGTAATCTTTGATACCGTTGTAATTAGCTTTCTGTTACAAGAGATAGCATTTCTCTTCTCCCCCTGCTTTTTTTTGCCAGAGTTAAAAAGCAAAATATATTTTGTTTTATGCATTTTACATCCTTTCCACTATTGCGTTTTTTTGAAAACTTCATAATATCTAGGTAGTTTTAACATTGGAATACTGAAGATTGTATTGCCTGATCTTATTTAATGATTACTCTAGTTTATTCCCTTTAAATAAGTATTTAAATAAATGGCATATATTACATTTGAGTGCTGAATCATTGTAGCTGTCACATGATTTTGCTCTTGGGAAGTTCCCCACTGTGTTTGTAGTAGAAACAGAGAAAAAATCCATCTGTTTTTTCTTCCACCTCAATTTTCTATCCACCCTCTCATCCCCTATAAAATAATTCTTCTCTGGTTAGTCACCTTTTTCTCTTCCTTATGTTGATACAAATTTAAACCTTTGGTGCCATACTGTCAACATCAGAACACTGCCTGGTACGTCTTTGTGGCTTAGGAAAAGGGGATGGGAGTGTTACAGCTCCCCTAAATTGGTCTGGTATACTCCAGCTTTATTCTAGGATAGCCTTTGAGACTACAGAATTGAATTCCCTTAGTAGGGAATTGGGTGTTACAATGTATTCTAGGAACAGAGAGCTGACAAAGAAATGGTAAGAGTGTACTGTGAGTATAAGAAGTGGAGGGTACTTATCAGACTTTATAGGAATGGGATTGTCAATATCACTTGGCTTAGCTGGAGTCCATACTGTCACTTCTTGGCCCAGTGTAACTCAGTAGCCTTTATGTTGTTGGAAATGGGTAGGTGCACCCTGTTTCTTCAGATATATTGATATTGCCCTGTATAATGGAAATTTATACCAAACCAGTTAAAATAGTTTACATTTGGCCTGGCCGGTGGCTCATGCCTGTAATCCCAGCACTTTGGGAGGCTGAGATGGTTGGATCACCTGAGGTCAGGAGTTCAAGACCAGCCTAGGCAACATGGCAAAACCCTGTCTCTACTAAAAATACAAAAATTAGCTGGGCACGGCAGCACGTGCCTGTAATCCTAGCTACTCGGGAGGCTGAGGCAGGAGAATCGCTTGAGCCTGGGAAGTGGAGGTTGCAGTGAGCCGAGATCGCACCACTGCACTCCAGCCTGGCGACAGAGTGAGACACTGTCTCAGAAAAAAAAAAAAAGTTTACATTTATATATGCGTGTATGTGTGTGTGTATATATATAAAATTTATTACATAAACATTTTTCAAATAAGATATGACATGGAATTAATTCGTTTGTATTATTTTGTTTTTAGTTTGTGTGGGTAAGACAGTTTTTTATCTTTGTTTCCCTGGTCTTCTATTATCCTGCTTTCTGATAGGAATAGAATAGTAGAATGACTAGTTCTTTTTGGCCGGTAGAAATGACTTAAGCTATGATTTTTCCTTTCCTCCCTTCAACAAAGGTGATAGACCCTGCAGGGAACAGAGCACTGGATTTAAAACTATATGATAAAACCCCAGCTAAATCTGTTTGTTTTGCCACCTCCAACTTTTAGGAGGATGGGGGAAAAATTACGCCAATAAGTTGTATCAGGTTTAATTAAAAAGTAATTGCCAAGCCAGGCACAGTGGCTTACTCCTGTAGTCCCAGCACTTTGGGAGGCTGAGGCAGGTGGATTGCTTGAGCCCAGGCGTTTGAGACCAGCCTGGGCAACATAGCGAGACCCAGTCTCTTAAAAAAAACCAAAAAAACCTACGTATTTTCCAGGATATGGTCTGTGGTTGGCATACTTGCAGGTTAATCTCCAACACTTCCTGCACCATTATACGGTGGTCACTGATGATCACAGTGAACCTTTGGTACTTTACCTTCTTTCTCAGAGGAGAATTAAAACATATGTTAGGGTACTCTATCACTCAAGGGAGAAAGGTATACTAAGTTTTAAAATAATTTTCAGTAACAAAAGTTGGAATCAAAATGATTTCCTTGTTAACTTTCATTTAAGCAAAATTAAATTAGGACAGTTATCTTCCTTGGCATTTGATTTCATTGTGAGTTTGTTGTCATTGAACAGTAAATCTCAAGGAGGAGGTGGTTTTCCAAAGAGAAGAATCCTAGACACTTGAGGGATGTGTTTTGCAATGGGATATGACTTATCTGATGTCCAGATGTTGTAGAGTTATTAGTGAAGTAGCAGAAGAGTAGTGAATTTATAGTTTCTCAATTTTAGTGGAGTACAGAGGTTGAGATTTTAATCTGTAATCTTAACAGTAACATATTTGCAAAGAGAGAAGTGTGACTGACAGATCAGATTCTAGAGCATAGACATTTTTCATATTGCAAGAAATAGGGAGATAGGGTTAGTTTTCATATTTGATTTTGTATAGTGTTGTTTTTACTGTGATCGGTAGAAATATGTTGTAAAATCTCAAAAGCTTTGTAATTATGTATAGCAAGCAGTGTGATTTATGGAAAGATTACTCAGATTCATGAGAACTCTTTGTTCTTGTCTCATTTCTACTAATAACAGCCTGAGTGATATTTTTGAACAAATGCCTTAACCTTCTGGTTAGGGTTCTCTGATCTGTCTAATCTGGAAGTTGATGTTTACGATCTGTCTGTTTGGGCCAGATGAGAGCATCTGGGGCTCTCAAATGTGTTGCTTAAACCACAGGGGAAAAAAAAAATATATATATATATATATGTGTATGTATGTACATATATATATATTTTTTTTTCTTTGAGGTGAAGTCTTGCTCTTGTCCTCTAGGCTGGAGTGTGATGGTGTTATCTCAGCTCACTGCAACCTCTGCCTCCCGATTTCAAGCATTTCTCCTGCCTCAGCCTCCCGAATAGCTGGGATTATAGGCACCTGCCACCATGCCCAGCTAATTTTTGTATTTTTAGTAGAGACGGGGTTTCACCATGTTGGCCAGGCTGGTCTCGAACTCCTGACCTCAGGTGAACCGCCTGCCTGGGCCTCCCAGAGTGCTAGGATTACAGGCATGAGCCACCGCGCCCAGCCAACCACAGAATATTGTGTCTATTCATGAGTATTCTACTCAAGTTTTCCCTCTTCATTTACAATAGTAACTCAGGAAGAACCCAAGTATTTTGCTAGAAGATGGTATTGGAGCTTGGGAGGAGGAAGAGTAACAGTGATGAGGCTGCAGTTGCTCAGAGGCTGGCTTGGGTGAGAGGGAAGGGAGAACATAGTCTTTGATACTGGGAGAGAGTACCCTGCCTTCTTTTCCTGTGGGTTTAGGTCAGATGAGAAATGAATCCTTGTCAGTGTGCAGCAAGTGAGAAGAGGTGATTATCTCTTCATCTCTTCCCCTCTCTGAGAAGAGGTAGAAGGGCTGTTTGGAGAGACCAAGGGTCTCTGCTAGGCTCTGGCTAAGGGAATGACGTGATTCTTCCAGGGGAAAAAGAAAAAAAAATTATTGCGGTAGGAAGGATGCTTCTCCTGATGTGAGTGAAAATATGAGGAAATTTTGTTGATAATTTTCTTGGTTTCTGAATACAACTAGGAGAAATGTCGGATCCTTCTATTTTATTGCTTCCTCCTATTTGATAAAAACAGCAAGAAAACAAGGTAGGTGGTGTTGGGGAGGGAGGATCCCCGCCCCCTAGCCCCATATCCTTTATAGTGGGTATTAGGACTGCAGTAAACACCTGTTAATCTCATGGTTCCCCAGGGGCATTTGCTCACTGGTCAGATCATGTCAACTTCTTCCCCACCACTACTTGTGCATCCATCTCAGAGCACTGTGCTTGTCCAGGTTTGGAGAGTAGCACCGCTTCCCTTCTGCAGCCTTTCTGTATGCTCTCAGGACCCACTGTAGGAGAAACACTGGGTGGTTGAGCTTCCTTCGCTTCTGTCCTATTTCTCTTCCAAAACTGTACCATATTTTTTGTTTCATATTTTTTAAAAGTTAGTCTTTCTGATTAATAATAGATCAAAAATAAATCTTAAGTTAAACTGTTTTAATGTTTTATGAGGAAAAAGTATTACTAAGAATGTTTTGTCAGCCATATAGAAATATTTAGTCTTACGTGATTTTACATAGAGTTTCAGTTTATTTTCTGGTTTCAATAGAACAAGTTGAAATCATCGCAGAAGGATAAAGTTCGTCAGTTTATGATCTTCACACAATCTAGTGAAAAAACAGCAGTAAGTTGTCTATCTCAAAATGACTGGAAGTTAGATGTTGCAACAGATAATTTTTTCCAAAATCCTGAACTTTATATACGAGAGAGTGTAAAAGGATCATTGGACAGGAAGAAGTTAGAACAACTGTACAATAGATACAAAGGTGAGTGCTTGCTTGTGACTTTAAATAAATTTTGGACCAGATTTTCCAAAGTGATGGGCTTGTGAGAAATCAAATACTATATATAACATAAATTGGGGGGATGTGTCCAATAGAGGTCTGTAGATCTTAGGGTTATTTCAAGAACTCTGAGGAGAAATTATTTTCTTTGCACTAAAATTTCTTCTTGGCCTCTTTATTTTCCTGCCCTCCTTTTTTTTCCTCCCCCATTGTCCAAGTTGAGCATGGGGATGGGGAACTGTTTTTTCTCCCCTCATATGTATAAAACTCAGCTGAACCAGTCTTTAAGAAAACCTGCATACTAAATCTTTAAAGAATTATAAAATAATGCATAGTTTTTAAAAAGTTCAACTGCATAATAGATGAATAAGGAAAGGTTAATAGTCTTTTCCTTATTCATTCTCCTTATTCATTCTCCTGAGTAACCAATGGTGTGGATCCTTCCATATCTTTTATGTTTTTGCAGAAATACATTTACAGAATTTCAAAGTTTTTCTGAATATGGGATGTTTTATGCATAACTTGTGCTCTAAAGTCAAATGATGTACATGTTTTTTATTGCTGGAGATATTGCCAGATTACTTTAAGAAAGGTGTTAGCAAGGCCGGGTTTGGTGGCTCACACCTATAATCCCAGCACTTTGGGAGGCCGAGGCGGGCCGATCACAAGGTCAGGAGTTCGAGACCAGCCTGTCCAATATGGTAAAACCTCATCTCTACTAAAAATACAAAAATTAGCTGGGCGTGGTGGCGTGTGCCTGTAGTCCCAGCTACTCGGGAGGCTGAGGCAGAAGAATCGCTTGAACCTGGGAGGCAGAGGTTACAATGAGCTAAGATCATGCCACTGCACTCCAGCCTGGGCGACAGAGTAAGACTCCGTCTCAAAAATAAAAAAAAAAAAAGGTGCTAGCAAATCATATTGGATAGCAGTCTATGAGTGCCTCTTTCTCTTTGTTATTTAAAATTTTTGCCTCTTTGATAAGTATTGATTTTTTTCTTTAAACAAAAGATATTTACGTTGTTGAGATTAGGGTTGAATTACATAGTTTAGTTTACAGTTTTTCTGATACTCTTAAGAAGTGGTTGTTGTGGGAAAGTGAACTTTGTTCTAAGAAAAAAAGAATTTCTGTTCAGAATGCCTACCTAAGCAAAATATGGATATATTGAATTAGAATCCCATGTCCCTATATACGAATGTCTGATTTTCTGAATGTGTATAAGTATGGGACATATTTCACATGAATAAATGAGACTTAAAAAAATCATGTCTCATCTGCATGTATCTCTTTTGTACACTTTAAGAATGCTGTTAGAGAGGAGAACGGCTTTAAAAAATGGGAAAGTGTATGTTAGAGTAATACTGTTTCATGCCTTCCTAGAGAGGAGAATGGCTTTAAAAAATGGGAAAGTGTATGTTAGAGTAATACTGTTTCATGCCTTCCTAGAGAGGAGAATGGCTTTAAATAATGGGAAAGTGTATGTTAGAGTAATACTGTTTCATGCCTTCCATATATTGTGGTCATTTAAAAAATGACATATAAAGCATTATCTTTTTCAGTTTTAGTAATGTAGCATAATATGACACTACTTTAATATTGCATTATTATTTTTAAAGACCCTCAAGATGAGAATAAAATTGGAATAGATGGCATACAGCAGTTCTGTGATGACCTGGCACTCGATCCAGCCAGCATTAGTGTGTTGATTATTGCATGGAAGTTCAGAGCAGCAACACAGTGCGAGTTCTCCAAACAGGAGTTCATGGATGGCATGACAGAATTAGGGTGAGTATATAATTACAAAAGGAAATTAGATATGTTACTGTGGAACTGAATTATGTCATGAATTTTTTAGTGTAAATTTAAAGATTTGCTGGCCTACAAACATTGGTATAAATAGAAATGGGTTAACTTGCTAGTTTCCATGTTATACAGTTTTCTGGGTTTGTCAAGTTATTTGTATAGTTAGTACAGCCTATTCTATTTGGATATATTCTTATCATTTGCTTCTAAGGCAGGTTCATTAGTATTAAAATTATGCATAAATATTTACCATGGAAGAGTGAAATGACCAAGTTTTAAAGTTATTTCCTAATGTGAGACTGTGAACCCTGCGTTTATAAAATCCTAGAATTTAAAAACTGGAAGATGCCTTAGAAGTTACTACTTGTTTCACTTACACTTTGACAGGTGATTAGCTGAATGTCTTCGGGTAAATTGATTGAAAAGTCATGGGTAGAGGTTTTACCTATGACCTCTAGTTGTCCATATTTAATGAGGTTGCAGACAGAAGTAATCAGTATGTTGGTAGGTAACAAGTTGCCCTTTCTGTTTTTAGAGGGCCACTATTAAATGATAATAGCTAACATTTATTAAACATTATTTTATTTCAGTTAACTGTGCTAAGTACCTCTTTACAGCAACTTTTTGAGAATAGTGTTTCTCTCCCCATTTTAGAGATGAAGAAATTGAGGTACAGAGAAATTATAGAATTAGGTAGTATGAGAGTCATGATTTGAGCCTGATTGACATTGCAATCAGTCAGGGTCCAGTCAAGACACAAAAACCACACCAGGGGCCAGGTGCGGTGGCTCATGTCTGTAGTCTCAGCACTTTGGGAGGCCAAGGCAGGTGGATCACCTTAGGTCAGGAGTTGGAGACCAGCCTGACCAACATGGAGAAACCCCGTCTCTACTTAAAATACAAAATTAGCTGGGCATGGTGGCACATACCTGTAATCCCAGCTACTTGGGAGGCTGAGGCAGGAGAATCGCTTGAACCCGGGAGGCAGAGGTTGTGGTGAGCCAAGATCATGCCACTGCACTCCAGCCTGGGCAGCAAGAGCGATACTCCATCTCAAAAAAACAAACAACAAAAAACAAAACAAAAACAAAAACAAAGACCACACCTGTAATTTTAACAGGGAAAATTTAAAGACTTGCTTTACTCTATCAAATAGATAAAAGGATAAAAGGAAACTCCAAGGCATAACAGGTAGCAGTTGCAGCAAGCTGCTACCACCTCTAGGAAGTCAGGGAAGGGCACAGACAAGGAAGAAATTTAGAAGCTTAGGAGACCCCACAAGGCTGAGATTCAGACCTGGGGGTTGAAGGGAGAGGGTGTGGCCACCTGTAATGCTGGTGAAAAAGCTGCCTAGAGGCCACTTGCTGCAGGCTGTGAGATTGCTACCACTGGTGGATACTGCTGGGACCTTCCCACACACTAAAACCCTTGCCCTCTGGAGAAAACAAACTGGGATCAGAAAAGTTCCTTCTTCCTCTTCCAGCCTTTCGTTGGCTCTTGGTAGAGCCTAACACTGAGCCAGCTGGCAAGAAAAATGACGTCTCACAGTTTGTAGTCCAATATCACAAAGTAGGGCAAAGAAGGGTAGGTTTAAAGCTGAGAGGCAGTAAATTAACTGGCCTGGACACTATGTCCTTCAGCCAAAAAGCCAGGCCCATCCTGAACTTGCTGGGATTTTCTATGCTAGGACAGGTTTCATCAGAACTTAAGGAAGCAATGTTTTTAAAAATTTGAAACTGAATTCATATAATATGTAATGAACTTTCAAATCAAAATTTTAATTTACAAACTAATGATCTGGAAGGTGTTACAAAGAATATAGAAGGAAAATAAAAGCAAAAAATGATTAGAAGGAAAAAAATGGATTTGTTTGTGGAATCTATAAGAAATAGCGTATTTCTACCATAAGGCTGTATTAGGAAACTAAAGGCTTGGTACTTAGAGCTTTTCAAACTCTTTGAAAGTTGAATGTTTTGCATGTACAGAAAAAGCTTAATATTAATTTGAGGTAATTCAGTTGGAGGTGGTAGGAGGTTCACCTGTTTACTACTATACTTTGTATATGACAAGAAGCAAGTTTCCAAAAGAAATGTTTCCTCATAAGCAAGAGACCATACTTTTAGTTAATTTAGATAGTAAACGCGATTAAGTACTGTGTCAGTAGTGTCTAATACAGTTTAAAATGATTGTTATGCTGATTACTATACATTCTTATTTATCCACTGAAGCTGACTTCTACTAGTGAAAGTGTTGATAGCCTAATGAATTATGTAATTAAAACGAATAGCCCGTTTCTTTTAAAAGTAATTATTTAGAACATTTAATCACTCTAGACTTCTTCCCGCAGCTAACCTCCATGCATGTTTGTATTTATGTAATGTAAAAAGATTGAATTCCAACTATTTGATTTTTAAAAAAGTAGTTCTAGGAAATAAATGTAAGCCCTCATGGGAATAAATAAGTTATTAATTTATAGTGAAAAAGTTAATCTTTTATAAACTTAATTTTACAATGTAGATGTGACAGCATAGAAAAACTAAAGGCCCAGATACCCAAGATGGAACAAGAATTGAAAGAACCAGGACGATTTAAGGATTTTTACCAGTTTACTTTTAATTTTGCAAAGAATCCAGGACAAAAAGGATTAGGTAAGAATTTTTAAAAATTATATTTGGTGTTTCAGATATATTCAAATACATTGACAGTGTCATTTTTGTAATAGAAAGTTGTGTGTTTTGAGCATAAAGTCATGAAAATACCAATTATTGAAAAGTAATTAGAAACAGGAAACTTTTAATCAGAGAATACCATGCACACTGAATAATAAGTTTACCCTGGGTACTACATGTGAACCACTGATTTTTGTTTTATGAAAACTACAGTCAGTATAGAAGATAGTTGTTAAAATTCCACTGACATTTATTTATTTATGCATTCATTCATTTACTCATTTTTTTCATTCATGATCCTGAAGATATTTTAGGATCTTAGAATCTATAGAAATAGCACTATAAGGTTTGAGTCATAGAATGCCAGATAAATTTATTCTTTTTTGTTATGATTTATTTGAAAACTATAAGGATGAAAAAGGAAATGCTTATCATTCATAATCTTATCCAGAAATAATCACTGTAAAAGTTTAGATCAATCCATTTGTATTTCTACATTTGCTTTTGGGATAGCTAAAGGATATGAGAGTAAAAGATACAGTGTAATTTTCAAATTACCTAAAAAGATTAGATAGTGCTAGTAGATAATTACAAAATAATAAAAGTGTGTAAGGGTTTTAGAGGGAGAAATGAGTAAAAGCAGGAGTGGTTGGGAAATGCTTCCTGGACAAGGTGGAATATGAACTAAAAGGTTTGGTATTTGGCTAGACAAGGGAAGATAAAAGATGTTCCAGTGAGAAGATAGTTATGAAGGTCTAAAATTTCAGCAATAAGCTTGGCTTTGTGCAAGAGAGAAGTTGTTGGTTTGATTTTAGTGGGAATGCTTGTTTGGAGATTAAATTGGTGAGACACAAGAAAGCTAAATAACCACAGACTTCTTTTGAAATCAGAAAGGGTTTCGTTTCTGTGTTTTTTGGAGACAGAAAGGTTTCAATTGGAATTTGTGGGAAATGGGGACCCAGTGAAGATTTTGGTGATGGTGGTAACTTCCATTTAATGTGAGCTTTTAGTATGCCTGGCACTGTGCTAAGTACTGTACTTTACATATACTACTTGTCTTGTATGTAAGTCCATTTCATGTTGCTGTAACAGAATACCTGAGATTGGGTAACGTATAAAGAGGTTTGTTTAGCTCATGATTCTGCAGGCTAGGAGTGGGGCATGGCCCTGGCTTCTGCAGAGGACTTTTATGCTGCATCATCATACGGCAGACAAGGTCAAAGGGGAAGTGGACTCCTGTGAAGAGAGAGACCAAACAGGAGGAGAAGCCTCGCTTTTAATAACACACTCCAGGAACGAATCTGTTCCCTCTGGCAAAAAAACGAGAATAGCACCAAGCCATTCATGAGGGACCCACCCCCATGAGTCAGACATTGCCCACCAGACCCCACCTTACAGCACCACCACACTGGGGATAAAATTTCAGTATGAGTTTTGGTGGGAACAAACCAACCATATCCAAACCATACCATTGCCTCATTTAATGTTTACCAATTTTTTGAGTTATTCATCCTTTCATTCAGTAATTTACCACCTGCTATGTGCCGTGCCAAATACATAGTAATAAAGTGCTAGCCGTTTATTATCCTAAATTTGAAGATGAGGAAATTTAGGCACAGAAAGGTTGAGTAACTTACCCAGTGAAGGTAAGTGAGGTCTTTTTTTTTCGGTTTTTGAAGATACAGTAGTAGTTGGAGAGGCTAATAATTAGGGCCTTTTGCACTAATTCCTCTTTATTTTTTAAATTAGCAGGGGGAAAGTATTGAGAAACAGATTATATTAACAGAGATTAGACTGAGGAAGTGACGGAAAGGTAGAGAGGAAGGGATAAATGTATAACCTTTGTAATGTAGTATGGCCCCACGAGTTACTAAACATGACTGAATTGATCAAAGATTCATAACATATTTGTAAAGCGAAATTCTCAGTGATAAAGCCTTCTTGCCAGCTTGATTGTTCAATATAGATTGGATTTTATTCTTAAAGGAAAAATCCTCAATTTGCGGGCAAAATAAGCCAGGATACCTACAATTAGTTTCTCTGTCTGGGGCCATCAGTTAACTGGGATTTTTTTCTATTTTTCCCTTTCCTTTCCACAAATCTGTTAAAGTCTTTGAATTTACATGTATGTGTAAAATCTTTATTTTGTCATATTTAGAAATGTAGCACAATATTTTGATAAGATTAAATATAATGTGAATGTCAAATGTTGATTTAAAGGGACATAACCTATTTCTTAGTTATATCTCTACCCTTTACTGGAGCACAAAATAAATGGTGTTTTGGGTGAATATATACTTTTGATACTGAATCTTAGTTTTTATTATATGTGGTAAAAATTGAGCAAAATTAAAATTTTATAAGTATTGGATATATTAATATGGTAAATTAGAATTTTAGATTACAGGAAAAATTATGTGAAAGCATTATATTTAAGAATTATGTATGTTTATTCTGTTATCTAATAAGTATTGTGCTTAAGAAAAAAATGTAATATTTAAAGGATGTAGAGTTTTTGTTTTGTAAGATGAGCATTCTGAAGATCGATGGCACAGCAATGTGAATGTACTTCACACCGAACTGCACATTCAAGACATTTCAGATGATAAACTTTGTTATATGTATTTAATTACAATGAAAATATTATTTAAGACCCTCCCAAACCATACAGTGTACAATACAAAGAGTGAACTCTAATGTAGAATGTGAACTTTAGTCAATAGTAATGTATTCATATTGATTCATCAGTTATAAAAAATATACCACACTAAAGCAAGATGTTAAAAATAGTAGGAACTGACTGGGGAAGAGGGTATATGGAAATCTCTACTTTCTGCTCAACTTTTCATAAACCTAAAACTAAAAATGTCTATTAATTAAAAAAAAGAAACATGTAGTAAGAGACAAATCCTAGGTTTTTTTTGGTTTGTTTTGCTTTGGTGTTAGGTATCAGGAAATGTAATGACTTGCTTATTTGCAGAGTTTAATTAAAAAGGAAACAGTTTTTTTTAACAGCCTTTCTAAGGGTTCACAGTGCTCTTACATTACAAGAGTTGGCAGAGAGGAATTAGAAGATCATAGGAGACGAGGTAAGGCCCAAAACAAATTGGCAGAGAGTGAGTGACAACACTGTGGTTTGTTTATAAATAGCTGCGCTAATTAAAATGAGAACTGGTGTTTTCCTTTTTTTTTTTTTTAAATGCAGGGTCTTGCTCTGTTGCCCAGGCTAGAGTGCAGTGGTGCGATCATGGCTTACTGCAGGCTTGACTTCCTGGGCTCAAGTGATCCTCCTGCCTCAGCCTCCCAAGTAGCTGGAACTATATAGGCAAGCACCCACCATGCCAGGCTAATTTTCTAATTTCTTGTGGAGCTGAAGACTTGCTGTATTGCCCAGGCTGATTATTTTTTCACTTTTCATAACCTTATTTCTTGTGATACCAGGATACGGTGCTTCCTTTGTTGCCATCTGCTTTAGTAATCTGACTTAAACATTTAAAAAAAAATTTTTTTTAGATACAGGATCCTGGCTCTCTTGCCTAGGTTGGACTGTAGTGCCACAATCGTAGCTCACTTCAGTCTCAAACTCCTAGGCTCAAGTGATCCTCCTGCCTCTGCCTCCGGAGTAGCCAAGACTACAGGCGTGTGCCACCACGCCTGGCTAATTTTTAAATTTTTTGTAGAGATAAGAATTCACCGTGTTGCCTAGGCTGGCCTCAACCTCCTGGCCTCAAGTGATCACCCTGCCTTGGCCTCCCAAAATCTTGGGATTACAGGCATGAGCTGCCACACCCAGCCTGCTGTTTTCTGATAATTGCCTGAATCTTAAATTTGAAAGGGATTTCGTAAGTCCTCTATAAAATTTAGCCCACCCAAAGTAGGATCCTTACCTGGTGCTCCTTCAGCTTCTCCTTTTGCACATGCAGGGACTGGACACACATTGTTTTAGGAAGTCGTCCATTCCTATCACAGAATATCCTTAACTTGTTATTACACAGTTCTTCCTTATTAAGCTAACATCTTTGTCTTTATTACTTCTACCATTGCTCTTACTTGTCCCCCAGTGCAACACAAAGGCTAAAATTAAAGATCCGCTCTCAGTTACCTTTTGTTTTTTTTCCAGGCCAGCATTCCGGTTATTTTAACTATTCTTATAGGAGACGTTTGTTACTCCCACTACTATCACCCCAAACACATTTCCAGTGTCTTTCAAAATAGAGCCCATAAAGTTGAACATCATATTTCAAAAGGACGCTAAGTAATGTATAACACTGTGGATCTGTTAATTTTTGTGAGACTATTCATTATGTTAATTTGATCAAAGATTATATATGTTCTTTAGCAGCCATATCATTTTTAGGGCCATACTGAACTTTTATTAGGCTAAAGTCTGTGAGTCACTTTTTTGTAGGTTGTGGTTCAGCTGGAATCTTATACCTCTACAATTGATTTAAATGATTTGAACATTATTCATTAAACATTTAGTTTCATATTTAGGAACAATTTTATAGTGTTTTAAAGAGCATGATCATCTATATAATCCCATTTGGTTCTCATAACAACCCCTTTGAGCTAAGTAAAAGCATATTATCTTCTCCATCATATAGATGAGGAAACTCATAGCCAGAGAGACTGACTTGTTAATAAGGTCACCTAACTGGAGAGTGGTTGGACTGGCACTGAGACTAGATCTCAGAACTTAGGACTCCACATTCTGTGTTTTGTTGTTGTTGTTATGTTGTATTAGCTGTAGATATTTCTAAGTATATTAAGACATTGTGGCTTTTGCCTGCTCCCAGTAAGGGGCAATTGTGGTTTCGGTGATGAGCTCCCAGAAGAGCAACGTGCCTCATTCCAGGCCTCAGAAGCACCGGAATATATTTAGCTTCAAAAATGACAAGTTCAGCTGGGCACGGTGGCTCATGCCTGTAATCCTAGCACTTTGGAGGCTGAGACGGGTGGATCACTTGAGGTCAGGAGTT